GGGGCGCCCGGCCCGCCCCCCGCGCCCCGGGGGAGCAGTGGGGCGCTGTGTTGGAGCGCGAGGAGGGCCGGGAGTGATGGCTTAGCCGCTCCCGTGTTATGTAATCCCCACTCGGTCCAATGGTGCATCCCAAGCCCTGTGCGCCGCGGTGACTTTACCAAGTCGCCGCCTCCGGCCCTGCGATTTCTGCGGGATGGCGCTGTGATTTATAAAATGGGACGGGGCGGCGGGACCTTTATTTCCCGGCGATTATGCCCTGCCTGCCGCGGTGGGCGCCATGTTTATCCCGGGGACTATTTTCTCCCGAATCTTAGCACCTACTGAAAAGAGGGGGTGTCGACGATCCACCTGCCTTCCCTCTCTGCGAGTTGTCCTGATTTTTCTTGTCCCGTTACACGCGGGACTCCCTGAAAGTGTTGATAACGCTGGACGTTTCTCTGGTCACTAGTCCTGGACATTCTTAGCTCTGAAAGAAGGTAGAGCTGAGAGAGCCTTGTAAATCTTTGAGCCCCATCTCATTTTTGAGGAGGAAACAGGTCCAAGTAGTACTAGCTCGGAACAGCCCTCCACTCTCACTTAGACACCGCCCACCGCAGCTCGAAACCCCACGGAGCGTACCAGCTCCGTTGGGGGTGTCTGTCAAACTACAGGAACCAGCAGAGTGATGACTCGGTATGAACAGGATGGAGTTTTACTCCCAAAGGAATTTTCTCGTCTGGATGGAGGGGAAAGAAGGGGGCGGGGAGGGCTGCTTGGCGAACGACGTTGACGCCACTATGGGTCTTGGGACTGGGGGTTAGACTCTGAGTTGGAAGCACTCAGCACAGTCGTTCCTAACTTCGGGGTGCATCAAAAGTGCCTAGGAGATTGCTGAAAGTGTAATGTTGGGGGGCCTCATCCCCAAGGCAGTTGGGGTGGTTTGGGGAAGGAGGTGTCCTCCTACGTGTTTAACGCGCTGTCTTTCAGCTGCGACTGATTAAGATAATTACCACGTAGAGAATTATTGGTCTAGCATAAAGGTGCTCAAAATAGAATCTTAAAACAGAATTAAATTGCAATCTATGCCCTTGATTTCCTGCCTATTTCCTATGTTATGCTTGTAACATACCAGCTATGTTGGTGGTGTGTCTCCAGCGAAATAAACTAAGCGATGAAGACACTTGGGACGAATGGGATTTGGTAGTGTCTCCACCCCACCCTGAGCCAGTGGTGTAACCTAGGAAAGCAGTTCTCAACGTGCAGTCCACTGACGCCCGGGGATCCCTTCAGACCCTTTCAGGGGGGTGGCGAGGTCACACTAAGGCACTGTTTATCGTCACTGAGAGTCGCACCCATGGTCCAAAATCAATGCTGGGTTTAAACTACTGGTGGTGCGTTGTACGAAGCAAGGGAGTTCCTTGAGAATGTCCTTGATAAAGCAGTGAAAATGATTAATTTTATGAAATCTTAGCCCTTGGGTACATGTCTTTATTTTTTAAGACTCTGAGCACATGGGAAGTATGCATAAAGCACCTATGCTGCTATCGAGGCATGATTGTTGTCATAAGGAAAAGCACTTGTGACATTTGAGTTGTGAACTGCTCGTTTCATGGAACAGCATGTTTATTTGTAAGAACAACTGACTGCAGTGTTTTACACTTGAGTGTTTGGAGGATGTTTTCTTGTAAATGAAGTGAGCTCGTCACTTTGAGGAAATAATTGACAGTATTTGTTATCGATGATAAAAATTTGAGAGTGAAAATTAGAATTTGTAAAAAGTTGACATCTCAAGTTTGACAGCTTCCTAGTATTTAAGACTTTTTTTGTAACAACGTTAATGACTGATTTTTTTAATGTGTAATAAAATATGTCAACATTAAGAAGATAGCATAACTCAGTAAATATGTTTTTTTTCTAATGACCAATGTGTGATGTTTCAGAATCACCATAGGTAAAAAAATATTTCAAAGTGCGAGATACACCAGTGGATTGTAATACAGCAAAGTAAGAAAAGTTTGTTAGTAGGGTTTCAGAGTCCAAGATTGCAAAAGTCCTTTAAGAACCTACCAATTGTTTAGTTATCGTATTGTATCAATGTACACAGCTATCTGAAAAGGTTTTTAGAATATCTTCTCTTTCCTGCTTTCTGCGTGATACCAGGTGATTTTCATTATATACCTGAATGCAGAAGCAGCTACGAGACTCCAACTGCCTTCTGTTGAGCTAGACGTAAAAGATGGGCAAAAAAATGCAAAATGGTGTTACTCTCCTACTACTTTGGGGAAAAAAATAGTATTTTCTAATTGAAATGTTATGTTAACATGTTAAGGGTTTTTAAAAATGTATTGATAAGTATTCAAATTTTTCCTGTTTTAATTTCTAAATGGTAAATAGCACCAGCTCAATCTACATAAAAGCTCTTCGAAGAGTGTAGAGGTTCCAAGACCAAAAAAATTTTAGAATCTGCCCTATGCTGCTGCTCCTGAGATCATCCAAATCCGCCTCCATTTAGGAATATCTGGCGAATTTACAAATGTTAGCTGGAGTTAATAATAGAAGAGGCAGTAACTCGGGAAAGAATTCTAGACCAGAAAAGCTTGGTTTGAATCCTGGTTGGGACATTTATTAACAGTAAGCTTGGACAAGTTACTTGTCTCTCCGAACCTTCGTTGTGACACCTCATTTGCCAAATGTAGTACTTAGGGCATAAAATTGTGGGAAGTCATTGAGATAATGAATGTGAAGTGCATAATAATGCCTGGCCATATCACAGGAAAATTAAGTATATTTCCAGACAATGTTCGAGTCTTTATTCTCCATATATGTCTTTTTGTTGAGGTGGAGATTTCTGATTTAAATTCTGATTAAAACCCTTAGAGCTGGTTAGTTCTTTTGTTGTGACAATATGGTAATATTTGGATAGATTCTTGGGCATTTTGGTTTGTTGATATTAAGCCATATCCACAAAAACAGTTTTAGACGTAACTCGGGGGAGGAGTGAAGGGAGATAGACTAGTGAATTGCTCGTATTTAGCAGAGTTAAATGCAGTCGAGGGAGCAGAAGGGAAATTTAGACAGCAGACAACTGTCAGTGAAGAAAAAAGGAGCTTTTTCTTGGGAATGGGACTCCTGAATATTAAACTTGGGGAAGGAGGTGTCCTCCTACGTGTTTAACGCGCTGTCTTTCAGCTGCGACTGATTAAGATAATTACCACGTAGAGAATTATTGGTCTAGCATAAAGGTGCTCAAAATAGAATCTTAAAACAGAATTAAATTGCAATCTATGCCCTTGATTTCCTGCCTATTTCCTATGTTATGCTTGTAACATACCAGCTATGTTGGTGGTGTGTCTCCAGCGAAATAAACTAAGCGATGAAGACACTTGGGACGAATGGGATTTGGTAGTGTCTCCACCCCACCCTGAGCCAGTGGTGTAACCTAGGAAAGCAGTTCTCAACGTGCAGTCCACTGACGCCCGGGGATCCCTTCAGACCCTTTCAGGGGGGTGGCGAGGTCACACTAAGGCACTGTTTATCGTCACTGAGAGTCGCACCCATGGTCCAAAATCAATGCTGGGTTTAAACTACTGGTGGTGCGTTGTACGAAGCAAGGGAGTTCCTTGAGAATGTCCTTGATAAAGCAGTGAAAATGATTAATTTTATGAAATCTTAGCCCTTGGGTACATGTCTTTATTTTTTAAGACTCTGAGCACATGGGAAGTATGCATAAAGCACCTATGCTGCTATCGAGGCATGATGGTTGTCATAAGGAAAAGCACTTGTGACATTTGAGTTGTGAACTGCTCGTTTCATGGAACAGCATGTTTATTTGTAAGAACAACTGACTGCAGTGTTTTACACTTGAGTGTTTGGAGGATGTTTTCTTGTAAATGAAGTGAGCTCGTCCCTTTGAGGAAACAATTGACAGTATTTGTTATCGATGATAAAAATTTGAGAGTGAAAATTAGAATTTGTAAAAAGTTGACATCTCAAGTTTGACAGCTTCCTAGTATTTAAGACTTTTTTTGTAACAACGTTAATGACTGATTTTTTTAATGTGTAATAAAATATGTCAACATTAAGAAGATAGCATAACTCAGTAAATATGTTTTTTTTCTAATGACCAATGTGTGATGTTTCAGAATCACCATAGGTAAAAAAATATTTCAAAGTGCGAGATACACCAGTGGATTGTAATACAGCAAAGTAAGAAAAGTTTGTTAGTAGGGTTTCAGAGTCCAAGATTGCAAAAGTCCTTTAAGAACCTACCATTTGTTTAGTTATCGTATTGTATCAATGTACACAGCTATCTGAAAAGGTTTTTAGAATATCTTCTCTTTCCTGCTTTCTGCGTGATACCAGGTGATTTTCATTATATACCTGAATGCAGAAGCAGCTACGAGACTCCAACTGCCTTCTGTTGAGCTAGACGTAAAAGATGGGCAAAAAAATGCAAAATGGTGTTACTCTCCTACTACTTTGGGGAAAAAAATAGTATTTTCTAATTGAAATGTTATGTTAACATGTAATGGGTTTTTAAAAATGTATTGATAAGTATTCAAATTTTTCCTGTTTTAATTTCTAAATGGTAAATAGCACCAGCTCAATCTACATAAAAGCTCTTCGAAGAGTGTAGAGGTTCCAAGACCAAAAAAATTTTAGAATCTGCCCTATGCTGCTGCTCCTGAGATCATCCAAATCCGCCTCCATTTAGGAATATCTGGCGAATTTACAAATGTTAGCTGGAGTTAATAATAGAAGAGGCAGTAACTCGGGAAAGAATTCTAGACCAGAAAAGCTTGGTTTGAATCCTGGTTGGGACATTTATTAACAGTAAGCTTGGACAAGTTACTTGTCTCTCCGAACCTTCGTTGTGACACCTCATTTGCCAAATGTAGTACTTAGGGCATAAAATTGTGGGAAGTCATTGAGATAATGAATGTGAAGTGCATAATAATGCCTGGCCATATCACAGGAAAATTAAGTATATTTCCAGACAATGTTCGAGTCTTTATTCTCCATATATGTCTTTTTGTTGAGGTGGAGATTTCTGATTTAAATTCTGATTAAAACCCTTAGAGCTGGTTAGTTCTTTTGTTGTGACAATATGGTAATATTTGGATAGATTCTTGGGCATTTTGGTTTGTTGATATTAAGCCATATCCACAAAAACAGTTTTAGACGTAACTCGGGGGAGGAGTGAAGGGAGATAGACTAGTGAATTGCTCGTATTTAGCAGAGTTAAATGCAGTCGAGGGAGCAGAAGGGAAATTTAGACAGCAGACAACTGTCAGTGAAGAAAAAAGGAGCTTTTTCTTGGGAATGGGACTCCTGAATATTAAACTCTTAAAAAATAGGGAACATATTGCTCACTTTAGTTGTTGTTTTAGTAAACAGCACATTACTAATATTCGGGCACTTCTTGATAGGTTTGCTGCCAGAGAAATGGGAGATATTTTGTGTACGTTAGGTTATCAGATAGCATATTAGCTATGTCCTCAAGACTGTTTAAGAACCCATGGTGAACACCGTATGTACCAGAGCCTGCGAAGGACAAAATGCACCATGCAAAGGATTGGATGAGTAAAAGCTTGTTATTACAGGTTTAACAATAATTTGTTTTACAGTCATATTAAGGATTCGGCCCTATAGGTTTTCTGAAATTAATCCTCTTTAAAGCCAAAAGTTGAGGTAACTTGAAAATAAATGCCAGTTGTTTTGAGGATTATTGTTTATTTCTCACCCTGGAGCCAAGAGACTGGTATTCTTAAAAACTTTGTTTGTTTTTGGAAACATTTTTCGTGTTCCAAATGTTCTTTTCTTTTATCTTGGTTTATGGGCGGGTATGTACTAGCAGTGAATTGGAAATGTTAGATTCTGAATTCTTCCTGGAATTTACAGCTATGAGAGCATCAGACAAATTAGAGGAATTCAAAGTTTCAAGAGCCAAATCTGCCTGGGGACTTTGGTAGAAAACATGTTTTCTTAATCTTTGAGATGAAGATAAGTCAACATTTGCTGCCCGTTAAATACCTTAAAAGTAAACTGACAGGTACATCTGTGGGATTCTTTTTGCTGCTTTTAAATAACATCGTTTGTAAAGCATCTCGGTGTCTCTCTGTGTCAATTATGTAGCCTTTTACTGACTGCCTGATTATATAAGACCTGAGCAGAAAGTACACTACCGTATTTGTCAGCATTTAAGGTACACTCCAAGCCTCCCTAGAAAGTATGTATCTGGTACACCCGTATTATGAATGGAAGGATGAGTGACAAATCCTTAAAAGACTACAAGAATTGCTAATAGTCCTGTGGGAGCTGCAGTGTTGAGGGAAGCCCACTGAGTGCACAGAAATCACGTTACTAGTACAGTTACTGCTGTAAAATAGAGAAGCCATGTAGGATGCCAAGCTGTCAAATAATGGATTGGATTAATGGCAGATGGTGGGGTCCATCTCATCTTAGGGGCCTGCTGCCTGGACAGCCTGCGTAACCCACCTTAGCTTCATTCCTTTTTTCCAATATTATTTATTATGCTACATCTTAAGAAATATATACATACAGTCTTTGTGAAAATTGCTTCAAGAAGTAACAAATTAACAGAAAATTCAACAAACGAGGCTGCCAGTTTGATTTAGTAAATGGCAAAAAAAGATAATGACAGTATATGGTAGTATAAAATATTGCAACCAAAATATGAGTAGGTAGTTTCCCTCCAGCCTTTTTTCCCCCCAGTTTCAGCTTCGTTGAGGTGTAATTGACATATAAAATTATAAGGTGTTTAAAGTGTAGGTTACAGCGATTTCGTACACGTGTACATTGTGAAATGGTTCCCCCATCTAGCCAACACATCCATCACCTCGCATTTATCCCCCCCCGCTTTTTTTTTTTGCTGAAAATATTTAAGTTCTGGCTTAGCAGATTTTAATTATGTGATAGTGTTTATCAACTGTAGTTACCATGTTTTACATCAGATCCTTGGACCTTGTTTATCTGATCCCCCAGCTTTTTATTAAGAAAATTTCATGTATGTAAAAAAGGTGCAAGAATACTATGAGGAGTACCTATACCACCTAGACACAACGATTTTTAACATGTTAGCATATCGATGTCCATAAGAAAATGCCACAATATATGTATATTTGCCAAACCACTTAAAGGTCATAGTCATGACACTTTCTAACATGACACTAAACATTTCATGCATTCGCTAGCAATAAACGTATTCTCCTACATAGCTCTAATATCATTATCCTTTCTAAGAAAATTAAAAATGATTCTCAAATGTCATGTAGGATCTACAAGCATACCTCAGAGGTATTGCCAGTTTGCTTCCAGACTATCTTAAACAAAGGGAATCACAAATTTTTTTGGTTTCCCAGTGCATATATATAAAAGTTATATTTATACAATACTGTAGTCTGTTATTAAGTGCAATAACGTATGTCCTTAAAAAGTATCCATGCCTTAATTAAAAATACTTTCTTACTTAAAAATCTACTCATCACCTGAGCCTGTTGGAAAATGGCACCAGTAGGCTTACTTAATCTTCTGTTTGTAGAAAACTTACCTGCAAAGCACGATAGAATGAGGTTTGCCTGTAGTCTGTGTTCAGATGTTCTAGTTGTCCCTCGAATGTCATTTATAGCTTTTTTATGAACCCGAATTCAATAAAGGTTCAGTTGTTGCATTTTGTTATGTCTCTATATTTTTTTTAATCTAGTTTGGTCTTCTCAGAGTGTGTGTGTGTGTGTGTGTGTGACATTTTTAAAGAGACCGCGTCTTATTTTCTGTATTATGCATTTGTCTGATAATTTTTTATAGAATGTCCCACCTTCTGGATTTATCTCATTCTTTTCCTTTTGGTGCTACTTATTCCTCTATTGATGTATTTCCTATAAACTGGAAGTTAAATGCTCGCTTTGATTTAGAGTAAACATTGTCAGTGGCTTTTCACAAAAGAACAAGTACAGACCAAAGAGCCGATGACAGGTAGAGTTTAGATTATTGGTTAATGTTTTTCTGTTTAAACTTATTACCGATAACACTGTTGGCTTTTGAGATACAGAACTACTTTTAAAACTTTAAGTTCAAGTATATCAATAAGACTTTAAGGAAGAACACAGATAGATTTGCATCACGGTGTTCGTTCCCTGCCCTCTGAGAAAACGATTCAGAAGTTGAAGAGGCAACAAGGGTCGATATATTTTAAGAAAAACAACCCATAGGGGAATTTTAAAGGGATCACAACCAGATATTTTAGAAATGGCGATTAGATTAAAGGTCTCTGGGAA